TTCTTTATTGTCAGTTTTTTGTTGAATGCAAGAATTGATGGGTCATACGTTAAGTGTTGGTTATAGCTAGCTCCTATAATGGAATCTTTGGAAGGCAGAAGGATGACTACCCAACGAGGCCTACAATAATTCCCAGAATCCATGACTATGTTACCTTATAAGGCAAAAGGAACTTTACCAATGTGATTAAGCTAAGGACTTTGAAATGGGGGAAATTATTTAGGAATATTTGGGTGACTGCACTCTAATGGCATGTATCCTTAAAAGCAGAGGACCTTTCCCCAGATGAGTCAGAGGGAGACATGATAGCAACAACAAAACAAAGAGAAACTCTAAGTGTGAGAAAGATGTAAGCTACCATTTTTGGTTTTGATGGTGAAGGAAAGGGACCACAGACAAAGGAATGCAGGTAGTCTCTAGAAACTGGGAAAACTCCTCAGCCAATAGCCAGCAAGGCAAGAGAGTTCTCAGACCTATAGTTGCAAGGATCTAAATTCTGACAACAACCAGATGAACAGAACACAATTCTCCCCTTGAACCTCCAAAAGAAATGCATCCAGCAAACACTTTGACTTTAGTCTAATAAGACCTACCAGAGTTCTGACCTACAAAACTATAAAATTATAAACTTGTTGTTTCAGGTCCCTAAATTTGTGATAACTTTTTATGGTAGTGATAGAAAAATAATACAGTGTCCATGTAAGAAAATACGGTGTATACGTCCTAAGAAAGAAAAAGGACCTAGATGATAAAAAAAAAATGTCAGGGAATACGATTATCAGTACAGGAAATCTTTCAAATTTATTTATGCTAGAGGGCATGGGTGTGTGCACAACAGTGAGAGAGAGAGCGAGAACGAGAGAGAGAGAGAAAAAAACTCCTACCGAAAGGGGCCTGGTCACACCACAATCCTTTGTCCTCCAATTCTCCATTCAGTCAGGACTTTGGGCACATACATGTGTGCTGGCATATTTTTCAAGCCACCAAGACTGACATTCAAACTGTTTGACCGAATGGGATACAGCTTCCTACTTAACTACTGGGCTATGGGGCCAAACCGCAGGAAATGGAACTTGATCCTATCATATTTGCCTCCGAAAAATGATCAATTTAGAGTAGTATATAAAAATCTGTGTTTTACAGGAGGGAAGGAAATGACCAAGCTCATAGAAAATGGTGTTCAAGGAGACTTTGCAGATGAGGCTCCTGAAAAAGTTCTTGTGAGAGACAATTAGTCAAGCTACTAAATGCTCTTGAGGAAGAAAAATAGAATGGCAGAATAGACACACAGAACTATTTTTAACATTGGGCACATTTGAAAACAGGTAACCTAGACAGGGAATATGGTATTAATTATAAGCTATAATTCCACTGTGTCCAAAGAAAATTACCATATGACATATGACAGAGAAAGTAAGAAAGCATCCCCATGGGAGCAATCATGCCACAATCCCTTCTCTTTTATCTTTCCCTCCTTTCAGGATTTTAGGCAACCATGCCCACATGCCTGGAATATTTCTGAAGCCACTGAACCAAAGACTTGAATCATGCAGTCAGCCAAGTGGAGTCCAGCCACTTGAATGACACCACAGATTGGCCTGTGGTTACTATATTTTTAAAAGATTTTTGCCACAGTGTATGTGTGCTCACCAGGGACAGAGAGAGGGAAAGTGAAAAATCACTCCCCAGAGGGATGACCACCCCTCAATCCCTTCTTTTCCATTCTCCTCTTGGGTTTTTTGGCATGCACATACATGTACCCTGGATTTTTAAGCCACCAGGTCCAGGACTCAAGCTGCAGTCAGTCATGTGGGAGTCCAGCAACTTCACCACACAATGTATTACTATTTTATGATGGGGAAGTAAATAGTACCCACATAGCAATCTATGAAATTAGTAAAGATCATTAAGACCCTTGGGATTAACTGGCATTTGGAGCCCCCGGATGTGATGCTATACATATATATATATATATATATATATAAGGACAGAGCATAATCTACATAGTCTTCTTGTAGAAAATGCTTAAATTAATCATAGGAAATCAATCAGACAAGTACATATTGTGGAACATATACATACAACTTTTTGGATTAATCAGAAATGCCAATGAAAAAGATGAGAGAGTGCTATTCTCGATTTGAAAAGACTAAAGGTGTATGACAACTAAATACAATCAATGACCTTTGACTAGATCCTGGATCAAAACAAATAAACAGCTATGAAACATATTGTTAGGAAAATTGGAGAAATGTAATATGGACTATTTATTAGATATCAGAATGTTAAGTATGTTAATTACCTTATTTTTTTAAGGTTTCTCCAAAGGGTGAGTACACTCATTAGAGAGAGAAAGAGACAGAAAGTTGGAAAGAGAGAAATCATCCCCCAGGGGGGATGGCCAGAAAGCAATCCCTTCTCTTCCATTCTCCTCCTGGGATTTTGGGCATGCACACACATGTGCCAAGTGTGATTTTTAAGCCACTAGGTTGGGGACTTGTCAGTCACGTGGGAGTTCAACACCTTAAATGCTACACCATTATTGGCCCCTAACTGTCTTATCCTTAATAGACATATGATGAAGTGTTTGGGGGCTAAAGAAGTATCAAAGTATTTTCAAGTTATTTCCAAATGGTTAAGTAAAAAAAAAGTGTGTGTTTTCCGTGTGTGTGTGTGTGTGTGTGTGTGTGTGTGTGTGTATTTAGAAAGGGAGATAAACAATGCATAGCAAAGTGTAAACAACTGAGTTATCTATATGAATGATATCTTTTAGCTTTTCCTTGGGGCTGAAAATTTTATAAAATAAAAAACCAATACAGAAAAATAATGTTTGCCTATATAAAGCTTATTCTTAATCCTAATTATGAATTATACTGATAAACTCAGAAATAAATCAATGCATTCACCTTTTTGGCAGAACATCCTATGAAAAATGAAAGAGTGGAAAAAGGAATATTATCCAAACAAAAGCAAGGTGGTATAGTTATTTTAATTGAAGAGATTCGAAATGCAAAAAGATAAGAGAATCGCTAAAATGATAAAAGATGTTATCTATTCAGGGGACCAGCAGATAGCATAATGGCTACGTCACTGGACTCCCATGTAGTTGACTGTAGTTTGAGTCCAGGACCCAGTGGCTTAAACTCAAGCCAGGCACATATGCGTGCATGCCCAAGATCCTGAGAGGAGAATAGAAGAGAAGGGATTGCAGTGTGGCCATCCACCCTGAAGGGTGATTTCTTGCTTTCTGTCTCTCTGTCTCTCTCTGTCTCTCAGGTGAGCGCACGTGCCCTATAGCAAAAAGCTCTTCAAAAAAAATGTATCTATTCTGGACTTGTGTATACATAATAATAAAACCTCAATTATACATAGCAAAAGAAACACTACAAGAATTTGACGAATCCACATTCACAGTGGGAGACTTTAAATCTACTCCTCTTGGTAACTGATAGATCTAGCAAACAGAAAACTTAGTAGAGATATGAAAGATTTAAATAATACAAATGATGAATTAGAATATGAAAAATTTTTCAGGCACACATGAAACACTAAATTGATCATGTTTCCTAGTATATAAAACAAGTTTTGAATACTAAATGAGTATCATATAAAAATGTTAATATTTAGTACAATTATATGGCCAATAATAACATGATGTAAGGCTAAAAAATACTATATACCCACACCTCAATTTCTAAATATCATCCCCCATTAAAAGTTCTAAAGATCAGAATCAGCAAGTGGCATGGTGGTTAAGACACTGGACTAAGGTTTGAGTACCAGACCTGGAGGCTTGCTTTCTAATTCTCTCTCTCTCCTTTTGTCTCTCTCTCATCAAACTGAGGAATAATAATATATAGAATTAAATAAATAATTCTAAAAAAAAAAAGAAAAAGAAGATTACCAAATTTTCATAGAGAAATGGTCAATGGGGCAGGAAATACAAGATAAGCCTGAAAATAAGGAAGTAAAAAAAAGAAATGTTAATACAAATCTAAATATGTGTTAAGAATGATGGGACATGTCAAAGGAACAGAGGAGTCAACTTGAATGGGCAGTCACTGGCTATATCTGGGAAAACTGGAGCATTAACATAAATGAGAAACAAGGTATTTATGGAATAAAATAAAAATCTATGAATCCAAACTAATAAACAATAAAGAAAAAAGCTCTTGTCTGAAGTCGTTAAACAATAGATGTGGTAAAAATTATCAATGGAGTTTGAAAAATCACTATTTTACAGTTATGACAGCAATAACTGACTCAATCAAAATGTTCAAGCTAGTAGATAATAGTTGACAGAGAGGAGGATATTTATACAGTCTTGATGCATTCCACAGCAAAATTATTAAAAACAACAGGGAAAACGGTAACTTCAAAGCCATTAACCTAGCAAAACACCCACCATCTTTTTTTAAGAATTATAATATTTTTAATTTAACTTTATTTATTCATTCATTCATTTAAATTTGACAAGAGAGGAAGAGAACAAGGGGGAGGAGGAGTCAGAAAGCAAACCACCAGGTCCATTACTCGAACTGCGGTCAGCCACGTAGGAGTCCAGAACCCTTAACCACTGTGCCATTTCCCAACCCCAGCGTGCACCATCTTAAGCAAATAATCAAAGTTAGTATTACTTCTAAGGAGATCAAATGAGAATGATGCAATGCTTTGAGAACACAACATTACCTCTGGTATTCCTGGCAACATGCATAATCTAAATATAATAACAAGGACATGGCATGCAAACTTAAAGACACTCTATAAAATAATTCTTATATATTTATTTAAATTTATTTTAAGGTAGATTTTTGCTATACAGTGTGTGTGCTCGACAGAGAGACAGAGAGAGACAGAGATACAGAAAATGAGAAATCACCTCCATGGGGGATGGTCACACCACAATCCCTTCTCTGCCAGTCTCCTCTTGGGATCTTGGGGATGCTCGCACACATGCCTGGCCTGAGACTTAAGCCGTTGGGTCTGGGCCTCAAACCGTGGTCCCAACCACATGGGAATCCAGTGACGTAACCATTATGCCATCTGCTGGTCCCCTTGTCCTATATTTTTAAAAAAGTAATGCCATGAAAAGAAAGAAAAAATTTGAAGAATTGCTTCAGATTAAAGTCTGAAGAGACATGACAATTAAATGCAATGCATCATCCTGATTTGAACTTTAGTTATAAAAACAAAAAAAATCTATAAATGACATTGAGACAATTGGTGAAACTATAATATGACATGGCATATGTAACAATGATATAATAATGTCAGAACAATATCAAATTTCTTTATTTTGACATATATATCAAGGTTATGTAGAAGTCATCATTTTGAGGAACTATACACCAAGTATTAAGAGGTAAAGGGGCATGATATCCACACAATATTATGAAATAGAAGAGAGATAGAGAGCAACAGGAAGGGAAAAAGGGAGAGAGAAAAAGAATACTGGAGCAAATGTAGTAAAATGTTAATTGATGAATCTGAGTAAAAGGTATCATGGGAGTTCTTTGTAATATTCTCACAGTTTTCAAATATGAAATTAAATCAAAATGAAAAGTTCAAGAGCAAAAATATAAAAATAAAAAATAAATCCATCAGTGAATACCATAATCACATTTTTTTCTATGCTGAGAACACAACACAGTATTCAAAAAAAATACTGTTTCAATATTTAACTTAACAAAATGTATACTGTGAAACTACATTGGGATGAGTAGCCGATGTATAATTTTGTTCTATTACAAGATTAAAAAAATTTAAAGCAGAAAATAAGACAAAGTTTACAACTAATAATTTTGTAAAATAACTTAAAAAGGCAGGTTCATATGCTTCAAAATAAAACAAAACAACTCATACATCAAGGAAAAAATCATAAGAGAAACTAGTAAATAATAAATATTAAATGATTAAAAAAAACTACATATAAAAACCTGTGAAATTGTTCTGAAGTGCTAGAGGAAAATTTATAGTCCTAAAATTATTACTGTGAAAAAGAAGATTGAGCTGAGATGGCTACTGAACTTGAGCTGTGAAATATTGCTTTTATTGACTAAAAATGATTTTTTTCTGCTAAGACTTCTCTGTCCAGAACCATTCCTGGTGGCCTCCATACACTGAGTGTCTAGACAGGTCCAAGTGAACAGGATCCAAATATCTGAATAAAATTAGGGTGAGAATATTCTTAAATTCCCACAAAATCTGGTGCAAAAAAAGGTGAAAAATACATGAGAGACATTTCAGATCATCTCCTCTTGCACGCCTCTGAATACTCAGATTGAACTTCTAGATATTAGGAAGAAATGTACCATCTATCAGATGACCAGAAATCACTGCAAGGTCACAAGAAATATGGGAAAGCAAGAAAATACCTCTCTTTCAATCAAAAAGAATAACTCCTCTTCATCCTAAGACAGTACAATGAAATTCATGGGAAAGTCAGATAAAAAATTTAGAACATTCATTATGAAAAAGCTAACGGAGATGAAAAAGAAGAAAGACAATGTACTACAGAAAAGGAAGGAGAAAGGAGCTGACGAGTTCTAGGAGGTGAGGAAATTCTTGCAAGATCTGAAAGAGGAAATACGCACGTTAAAAAATAATCAAATGAGGGACAAGCAGGTGGTGTGGTGGTTAAGGTGCTGGACACTCCTTCATGGCCGACGACACTTTGAGTCCTGAACCTGGTGGCTTGCTTTCTCACTTTCCCTCTCTCTGTCTGTATGTGTGTGTGTCTCTCTCTGGTCAAATTAAAATAAATGAATGAACAAATCAAATTAAATAAATGATTCTTAAAAAAAATAATCAAATGGACCTGTTAGAGATGAAGGCTATAATACAGGAAGTCAAAACCTCCCTTGAAAGTATTAAAAGCAGACTAGATCATACAGAAAATTGAGTCTCAGGTGCAGAAGATACAATCGCTGAGCTAGAAAAATCCACCATGAAGACTGAGAAAATTGCACAGAAAATGAGAATAATTTATGAGAAATGCTAGATAACATCAAATGTCCAAACATCTGGATAACTGGTATCCCAGAAGGTGAAGAGATTCATACAGGGCATTGATAATATATTCCATGAAATTTTGGAAGAAAATTTTTCAAACATAAAGAGGTACTCAAAGATCCAGTCCCAAGAAATACAAAGGAACCCAAAAAGAATCAATCCAAGATCTTCTCCAAGACATATTATAGCCAAATTGACCAAAACCACAGACAAAGACAAGATACTAAGAATAGCAAAAGAGAAATGTCAAGTTACCTATACAGGATATCCCATCAGGCTAAAAGAAGACCTCTCATTGGAAACAATGCAAGCAAGGAAAGAATGAGAAAATATATTCAAAGTGTTAAGGGAAAAACTATTTCAACCAAGAATACTATACCTATTAAGATTATCTTTCACATGGGAAGAAAAGACAAGAACATTTTCAGATAAACAAAACCTGAAAGAATTTACCAACACCAGATCAGCTCTCCAAAAAGGTCTGAAGGGAGTGCTATACAAGAAAAATTATATACAGACACACAGAAATAAGAGTTCAAAAACTAAGAAA